AATGTGAGTGTGAATGGGTGAATGTCTGTTAGTGTAAAGCGCTTTGGGGTCCGGAGGGACTTGAAAAGCGCTCTATAAGTTCAGTACCATTTAAATCTTTAGTTTCTTGAACTTGTGCTGGTTTGCGTTCCTGCGTCCAATATTCTCTTCAAACGTGACACTAACAAAAATATTAAGATATGCTGAGCACAAGGAATTGCTACATAAAAAGGAGAAAATGACTAAACACAATAACTCAAACTCAAAAAACAAGCATCAAATCGTAGCATAATGACAAACTATTATAGGAAATTTTGTAGAACATGGCATAAAATGAAGAGGTATTGTATAGCCATATGCAGTTTTGTAAAAACCGACGCCCCCGAAGTAAATCAAAGCTGCAACACTTTAATTAAAAAAACATTATAATGAGCTTAATTTCATATTTTTACACCCAAATGACACATTCCTAGTTTTTACACAACATTCAGTTTCTTTAGTCTTTACATGCAGGCAGTTTAAATCAGTTCACTGTGGTGAGAAACATCAGAACATTTAACAGCGTTGGTGGAGAGCAGGATGAAGATAGAGGCTCGCTGAAAACTTTGTGTGTCCCCAGAGTGAAGCCCTACCTTAGAGTGTGTGTGTGTGTGTGTGTGTGGGGGGGGGGGGGGGGGGGGGGAATTGGTCCATCTGAGTTTGATCTCACGCTCAGATTTCCTCTCATATAGTGCTTCTTTACACTGACGTCTCCGCCGCCCACACATGTTTTACACAGTTATGAGCTGATTCTCCACGCAGGAAATATCACTGTTTATTGATTCCAGTCGTCGGTGGCTCTTCAACTTTCACTTGGATAAAAGCATAGATTCAGTCCGTTTGGTCTGTGCTTCTTTTTTGTTTAAGCACATTAGTTTCATGCCCGCATATTTTGTATCCAACTGTGAAACTCAGGATTTGGTTTCTTAAGATAAACATCACATTGATTTACAGTTTTTTTTTTTTTTTTACATTATCYACCACAGCTGAATGACAAAAAAAATAGCTTTGAGTCAAGCTGTCTTACTAATAATGACCAGAAATCAGATGTGGTAGTAGCAGAGATTTATCCTCAACAACTATCCTGAGAATTAACAGTTTGCATAAGAGCAAGTCAGTATGGACCACCGAGAAACTGGGGAAGTATCTTAGTTCAAATATCTGAGCATTCTACACTGAAGCTTGATTCTCATGTTAAGAAAACGCCTTAGACAATCAAGACTAATCTAAACTGTTTCTGTTAGATAAGACTCTGTGTATATGCTTTGATATATATATAT